GTACCTATTCTGGTTTTCTATTTCAGTTATAGTTCGCATGCCAAATTTAACTATGCAAAACTTGTCCGCAAGTTTATAGACATTCTATTATTCGAATCCATTATCCTGCCAGGTCCTCTAGGCACAGTGTTCGAGAAGTTATACTTTTTTGGCACCTATAATTAAATTACAATATGAATTATTATAAGTTACCTATGTAGGTACTTGTCTAAAACTCGACTACCAGGATTGAAATAAAACAATGTGATTTAGGTAACATATTGGCTATTGATCTATTATAAAATAGAATTAAACCAAGGTACCAATAATATCATTATATAAAATTAATTATTTTTAAATGTGACAATTTGAAGACAATTTCTTAAAACCCCTAAAATATTTTTTTAATTAAAAATAAAATTTTAAATAATTTAAAATAATTCTAACACCTACCCATGGTGGTTTTACATAACAAGTGGAGGGATATTTTTGTTTTTAATTGTCCGTGCGAGTGACTACGTCGGGTATATATATTAAAATACCAAAAATTTCAATTAGCTATTTATCTTTAAAATAAGTGTGACCGCCAAATTCAGATTTCCCAGTCGTTTTCAAATAAAAATTAATGATTTCCGCAATATTGTTCTTAATTTGTTGTAACTTATAATATACATAGGATACCTGCCAACAAAAAAAAATTGAAAAATTCGTGTTTGTGCTAAACTAGATTTGTTCCCAATAAATTATTATAATTTATAGTTATATTATAAGTACAAATATTATGTTTGTAAAGTGTTAATGGGTGGGGGGAGGGGCGTTGAACCTAAAAATTTAAAAATAGATGCAAGTCGCCGTCGGGGCCCCTGAGCTAACGATTACCGGCCCTCTACAGGGGCATTGCCCCGGCTGCCTCTGTGATTGTTGCCGCACTGCAGTCAGGGGGCCCCGACGAAAATGTAAATTATAAAAAGTGAAGGAATGTCATCGAACCGTATCCTCCCACCCCACTTCGATCACTACAACTACCGTTTAAATGTTTTTAACGGGAAGCGCTTGCAGGATAGCTAGTTAAAATAAATGTTTAAATTGAAGAATAAAAATGGTATAATAGTTTGATCTTATTATAACATATTGTTTAATCTTTAGTTTATACAGGGTGATCCACCAAGCGTGCTCACCAGCTCACCCCTATTTTTTCTTTTATAATTATTTTATCAAATTCTGATTTTTGGAATAGGTATTTAAGGAATGTCTTGTGTACAAAACTACAAACTTCTATATTTCAAATGAGAACCCACTATTTTTACTGTAAATTATTTAGTGAATAATTTTTAGAAAATTCAAAGTTCCAATGAGTAGTTTTTAGTTATTAAAATGTTTGTAGTATGGATTAAATAGTCCTCAAAAATAGTTTTGCAGAAATATAAAATATACGTTCTAATAAATCTAGTATTTATTATACTTGTCCATTTTTACAAATTATTAATATTGATATATTCATATTAATGTAGGTATACAATTTTCAAATCCCCATAGCCTCCATATTTTATGAACCCATTATACCATTGGTATTTTATCCTTAAACATAAAAGTTAAATAACTACACCTATGAATTTTGTTACTTACGTAAATATGAGACACTGAATCAATCAAAAATTAGCCATTAGGTATAAAATTACAAGATTTCGAAAAAAAAATTAATAAAACCGTACAGAACGCGTATGTTTTTTGCTCATATCGGCTTGGATTATTTAGATTTTAGATTTGTTAATCGACTGCGTCCTCTGCAAAGGTTTTGGAAATTGACATAGATGAAGGCATAATATGATGAATCCACAGATATTAATAAATATTAACACAGATAATAATATTATAGGTAATACATATTTTCATATCAAAGAGTATACGTGTTTACAAATTGTTTATTCATTATTGAAATTTGATATGAAAATAAGCAAGATAATTTATAATTTGAAATATAATTTAAATGAATTATGTCGAGGAAGTCAGTATTAACCAAAATAATATTAATAAAATACACTAATTTTAACACTGTCGGTGCCATGTAAATTTAGCGATACCATTAATTTGAAAATCATGCAGGTACTAAGTAGGTACTTACGGGTGTACTTCTCTGTAAAATACACGTATTTAAAATTAAAATTATACATTGTTTTATAATATTCATATATTATTTGAACTCTTATCCAAATTAATTTGTATACAATTTTGTGTAACTATTAATTTGCAAAGTAGGTATATTTTCATATTTCATTAATCTAAGAAAATGTCTGGATCCGTGTAGGTTGACCACTGTGATATCGCTGATGAGTGTTGATGGAGCTAAAAGAGAAAAACCCAGAGCAACAGAACAGAATCTAATTATTATTATATATATTACAGAATCTTGAATCTACGGCGTCTCAAAATCAACACTTTCCAAATACTATCGAAAAATTATCTTATCCAACATTACAAAATTCATCTGAAGGTAAGGTTAATTTTAATATGCCTAGTAAAAGTGATGAAAATGACCAAACATTTAAGACATTTAAATTAATTCATAAACTAATCATAATTAAAATTAATTACTTTCAAAAAATTATACTAAAAATTAGTTAATGAACAAACGATGATACTGCACATACATATAACCGTATATCTATTCTAAGTTTCTTTAACTTTATTACCTACCCTTTAATAAATATAATAATACAGACGACGGTGCCCACATGTTCTTATATCTGTTCCATAACTAATTATTCATCATTTCACAAAAATGATTTAATTTTGAAATTGGTGACTAATATAATATAGTCTTCTTCACTATCTATGAATTAAACTTTTAAAGTGATTATAGTCCTATAAGATTGAAATAAATGCTTAATAATTTACATATTTTTGTGCTTGAAGGAATTCACATATTATTCAAACAAATTTATGAAGAATTGATAGCTAATCGAATGATGAACGATAGACTTTGCAATAAGATAGATAGTTTAAAAGATGATGTTAAACGGTTCACCAGTCAAATGGTACCAACATTTGATTTTTCAAATGATACTGTAGATGTGTCGTTTTTATCACAGTTTCCATTGTCATCTAAAGAAAGTGTTGTTGAGTGTGAAAAAGTATTACAGATTGATTGTAATATAAAAGAGAAATTGGTATGTTAATGGAATCATCTATTTATTTATTTTATTCTTAAAATTTTAATTGATTGAGATTGTTCTGAACAAATTCTGTTGACAGAAAAATATGTTTTGTTCAATTGGTGGTAACGATGGTAAGACACATCTTCGTCGTATTTTATCCAAAACATTTACCAACAAATTTGCTATTAACTGTTCCTGGACTGGCAGGGCATTTGAAAAAGATGTAACAAAATTCAAAATCAAAAATTTACTGATTATTAATTTAATGAAGGGTATATCATATAATAATACATTTTATGTGCCATGAGGTTCTTATAAATGTAATTTAACATTTTTTTAATTAGGTATAATTAAAAATAAGTATCAATATTCTGATTCTACATTTGAAGTAGAAGTACAAAGTTGGTTTAGAACTGCTAAAACACGATATAACAGGACAAAGTAAATTTGATAGCATTGCTACTTTTAAAAATTAACTTAATACATTATAAATATATAATATAATATATATACATGATGTAACAAATATTATGAGTCAACTTTTTAATTAGGTATTTAAAAAAAATATATGTTGTATGTACTTGTTTTAGTGTTAACAGTTCATAAACGCATTAAAGATATCGGAAGTATATCTAAACGTCAATTTCAGAGGCGTATTAAAAATCAATTACAATTACTACATAATAATAATCCAGCAATACCCATAAATCCTGATATTCAATCTTCATCACAAGTATGTTTTAAAATAAAAGTTTTTTTTAAATAATATTATACATATAATAATGTTTTTACTTTTTAGGTAATAAATTCTATCACACTTTCAAAAGCATCTTCCAATGAAGAAATTAATAAAATTAATTGTATTGAATCACATATTTCTATGACTAATATAATGTGCAGACTGATCAATTTTGTAATTTAACTGTAAGCATTAGACACATTTCAATCTATTTTTACCTACCTACCTACCTAATAATTTTTTTTAAATTATAAATTATATTAAATTAATTTTTAGGATTTTTCTGAAGACACCCAGCCTATTGAAGATTTAATGTGTGCAACTAGTTCAATCAAAGACAAAAACAAAGATCTTGTGCAACATCTTCGAAAATGGGCCGTGCAGTTCAATGTATCTCACGCGTGTGCTAATGAAATTTTGAAAATTCTTAGAAGTACAGGTATACAAGTTCCCAAAGATATTCGAACAATTCTCCATGAATATAAGGTTATTAGACCTATTCTAGAAATAGAAAATGGATCATATCTGGATTTAGGTATTTACAATATTGTACAACCTCATTTAGCCAAAGAAATAGATAGCATTCCTAATAATATCACAATAAAATTGGGTTTTAGTATTGATGGACTACCTTTAGCTAAAAGCTCTAAGACTCAGTTTTGGCCTATTCTTTTATCATTTATCAATGTACCAATTTTTTCAAACAAAATATTTCCAGTTGGTATTTATCACAGCTTTAAAGGCAAACCCGGTGATGTAAACGAGTACTTACGTCCATTTATTAATGAGCTAAATAGCATTTTAACATCAGGTATTAAAATTGACGATAAGCTAATACATTTTGAAGTAGCTCATATTGTAGCTGAAGCGCCAGCTAAAGCTTATTTATTGAATTAAAAAATCATAACGGCTATTTTTCTTGTTCATCATGTGAAGTCGAAGGTGATTATATCGAAAATAAAGTTTGTTTCTTAGATTTTTCTGCGCCACTAAGAACAAATAATTCATTTAGATTAAAATCAAACTCTGAGTACCATAAAAATGGATTTAGTCCGTTAATAGATCTTCCAATTGATATAATAAAATGTGTGGTCTTAGATTACATGCATTGTGTATGTCAAGGTGTGATGAAAAGACTGTTAGAATTCTGGATTAAAGGAAAAAAGCACTTAAGAATTTTGGAAGAAAAAAAAGATTCCATTTCTTTATCCCTATTTAATTTGAGAAAATCGGTACCTTCAGAGTTTGCTCGTTTGCCTAGATCGCTAGATGATATAGAGTTTTGGAAGGCTACCGAGTTCCGTGAATTTTTGCTATACACAGGTGTTGTTGTCTTAAAATCAAATTTGTCCAAAGAAAAATATTATCATTTTCTTCTCCTATTCGTATCTATTAGAATTTTGTGTTCAAATGAAGTTTGTAATAAATATAATAATTTAGCCTCAAAATTGATAAGAGAATTTGTTGAAAATTATTCAACTATTTACAGACCTCAGTTCATTAACTACAATGTGCACAGTTTAATTCATCTATCTTTTTTTGTTAGGCTATATGGTCCATTGGACAATTTCAGTGCATTCAAGTACGAAAATTACCTTCAAACTCTAAAGAAGTCAATGAAATGCTGTAAATATCCACTTTCTGAAATAAAAAACAAAATAATAGCACTTGAATGTGAAGAATTGAAAACCATCACACCAAATAAATGTATTTTAAAGTATTTTAAAATAGATGAAAATCTTTCAAACTTTGAATTAACATTTTACCATCAAATTACCCTTAAATCTAACAACTATGTTGTTTGTTGTAAAAATATTAAAAATCAGTTTTTTATTTTAGAAAATGACGATATAGTTATTATAAAAAAAATTTACAAAAATAATAGGGATGATGTGATTAAATTATCTGTTGTAAAATTATTAAGTATAAGTGATTTGTTTAAATTACCAGTGCCAAGTAAACTTGTAGGTGTTTTTTTTGTTAATACTCATAATGTATCGGATCTTTATGAAATAATTGTAAATAATATTAAATTTAAGTGTTTTTTTGTTCAATTTCCTAATAATGAAGGAGTTATTATTTCATTATGTCATAATGTTTAGACAAAAAAGTTTATAAAACAAATAAAAAGCATATCTTTAAGTTATTATCTGTTGTAAAATTATAAAATATAAGTGATTTGTTTAAATAACCAGTGCCAAGTAGCCAGTAGGCTTGTAGGTATTTTTTTTTGTTAATGTAATGCATCTCAACATTAATTAAATTATTATAATTAATTAAGAAGTAATATTAAGTGAAAAAAGAAGTAGTAATTATTTTATTATATTTTATTTCTTATTGTATCAATTAATTAATACATCTAAAACCTATGTACGTTATTTTTTATTGTTATTTACTGTAGTATTGTACTACATTTTTTTTTTAATTCCATCTGATGGCAAAAGTATAAAAATATAATACTATTGAATATATATATATAAATAATGCGAGTTAAATATTAATTTGTATACATTTTGTGTTCATTATTAAATACAAACTTTTGGAAACCATATTTTTTACCTTTTTTTTATTTATTTCTATACCTAGTTAAATAGAATCTTTAAAGGATAAGTAGGATATATAATATATTATATAATATATAAATATTTTATGTATAAATACATAATTATATAAGTATAATAAATAATATATTCTACTTTATATCCTTATGGTAAATTCTATGCAGTCACATATTGTGTATATCCATGAAACTGTTAAAAACATTACGGGAATATAATATTTTAATCTATTTACAAGAACCCAAAACAAATATAACTGGAACTATTTATAGGAATATTAATATTATATTCCAAAATACCATAAATGGAATATAATCATGACTTACAATTCAGTTATGTTGCAGCAAAACGTTAAAATTATGTTCCACAGAACTATAAACAGAATATAAACGTGACATACAGTACATTTATGTTTTATTCATTGTTGCAAACAACACGGCATATTGCATTATAGGAATGTTTTTGGAACTCTAATGGAAGTTCCGTAAGAACGTTTCAATGTTCCTTAGGAATATTCCTTTTACATAATCGTAACTGTTTTTTGCACGGTGGGTAAGTATATCGAATAAATCTTTGGCGTATGGTATAAATGATTTAATGGTCCCAGTACCAGTTTTTCGAATTGTCTATAATTCTATAAAATTTGAAAATTTAATTTTATATTTTAGTTTTCAACTGAATTATAAGACTTTTCCACTAATCTACTACCCGATACCTACTTAGGAGGGGTTGATAGGGTGTATTATATCGAAAAAAATGACTTAACGGGAATAACTCTCAAGCTTTGTAGAATTGTCGGATTTTGATTCACTATTTTTTTATCTGAAAGAAGACTTCCTACCCCCCTATAGATCTATGATTTTGTATTTTATTTCAAATAATTGTATTAAAAGATTTGTGTAAAAAATGTTTTTTATCTTGTATTTTTTTAGACACAATAAAAAGTTTGAGAATAAAATATTGAAAAACAGTGATCGATGCGGGATGTAGAATATTATTTTCCTCTAGCAACTAAAAAAAAAATTATGAAATTTGGTTGATTCTACAAGGCGGTAGGCATCGTTATTCCCGTAGAGTGTATATTTGAGGACAAAATGCCATCCCTGCGCCTTAAGTAAAAAACGACTAGTTTTCAGGAAGGTAAAACAAAATATTGCAAAGTCATTCGAAATCGTTGACAATAATATCTGGGCTGATAATTAATTTAGTTTAATATTCAATGTACCAACTTTTATGTTAACTATTAAGTAGAACTTTAAAATAAATTCTTCATTATTTTTAAGTGACCTAAGATAATTGGGTTTTTATTTTAGATTTGAGCGGAGCGAGGAAGCTATAGTGGTTTTACAATGGTGTTTATTTTTTTTTATATCCTGTATACAAAATTTCCACCAGAAGGAGTGCTTCGATTTCTACAATATAATGCGATTTAAAATGTTTAGACCATAACACATTTCACTGATAGGGAATTATAGTTTTGACTTACGTGATCTGTACAAACAAAGTATAAAAATATAAATATTTTTGATTCCACTAACACTATAAGGCAATAATTTCAATTTTTGACTAAGTCATTTATATTCTTCGCCAAAGATATGTCATTGGGCTTATACACAAAAATAAATAAATAAACAAATATTAATAATAATAAAATACTTATTATTACCTAGGTAGGTAATAAATAATAATCTATACTATAAAAGCGAAATAGAAATCTTTGTGACGGGTTGGCTCTGAAACAGCTTGACTCCTACAAAGTGTTTCTCTAATCTATACTATCTATAAAGCAAGTGCCAATTTTTTGTAACGCATACGAAATACCGTTCAACTTATCGTCACCAAATTTTTTACTATGACAGAAAAATCACAAATATTAAATAATAATAATCTTACAATTTAAATAGCTGTATATCAACTCAAGTCAATACCGTATAATAATGGTATGAATAGATTCGTGATCATATAGGCGTGAGCAGACCTCTGAGTCAGGTATGGCTAAATTCAATCTGATCACCCACACCCTTGTCATCGACCCACATGAAAAAAATTATAGACATTTTCACTACAAAATTATAAGTCACCCTTTCGTTGGTGACTGGAAAATGTAAACAATCAGTTTTCATTATTTCACACATACAAAATTCATCAATATTGATTTAAAATGTTAACCAAATATAATCTAATAAAACAATTTATTCAAAAACGTTCAAAATATGATAATATATAACATTAAAATTGTCAATTAACATTAATATTTATTTATTATTATAAATTTAAAATTATGCATGGAAAATCGACTTTAGGTCGACTATGAGTTTATGATATATAAATATTTAAAGTTTAGATGAGCTGAGTAGTGGACATAAATATCGCGGGGTAACCCCGTACCACTCAACTCCGCTCATCTAAACTTTAAATACTTATAAGTTATAACGCATAAGCTACTGGCCCTAAATTCGATTTTTATGTATCAAAATACTTAGAAAAATATTCTGCTTTGGAATATGAAATTAAAACTCCTATGTTGTAGTTAAAAAAATTAAACAATTAGAAGAATAAAAAATATTTACAAATACATTTTTTTAATAAAAAAGTTGTATTGTAAATGACTTGAAACTATGTAAAAATATATTTTCAAAAACAATTACACTTTTTTAGCACATTCATGATAATATGATATCCTTCGTATTCGTCATTCCACATTTAATTTCCTCACTGTGATTTATCGTACTAGTAGTTATTTCCAAACTAAAATTAATTCAAACAATTTTGAAATCACTTATAGAAAAAAAATATATATACAAATTAATAATATTATTGAATTATTATTGTTATAAAGTGGCACGAAAAAAAATAAATATAATTTTGTACGAAAAAAATGATCTCTAAGAAATACCGACTATACGTATACCGTCGACAAAAATTCGCAATCAAACAACATAATTATAGAATAAATATTACCTACATAAAGTCTCCTGGTTAACGAAGAAAACGGGTATGAGTGTTGTAGCCGGTTTATGTTATTTCCAAATATACATAATAATAATATAGTTAAACATCTTTATAACGGTCACCCTATAAGACGGAAATCTCCCTAGAATGGAAAATGACAACGTTCTCGAATAACCTATGTACAGCAGTGGCATAGCCAGGGGGGGTTTGGGTGTTTAAACACCCCCCATTGACATTTCCCCCTAATAAATATATTGTTTATAGGGTTCGGGACTGCTTGCATGTTTCATTGTAGTGGACAGTGGTAGTAGGTTATTTTAGATAAGTTATAAATAAAGACCGGATTTTTGTGCAGCTAAAATCTAAAAAATGTGCAATTAAAATGTTAAAATGTGCAAAAACGTGCAAAAACAAAATTTTCATTATAGGTACTTCAAATTTTAATTTTAATAAGTAATAACTAATAACTGATTTTACAATATTTGATTAAAATAATAATAAACTGACAATAAAATAAAAAATAAAATAAAATAAAATAAAATATGTATATAACTGACTTACAATATTTGATTAAAATTTATGATCATGTACATTTCCAAGTTTTTTTCTTTAAAATTATGTCTTCTGTCACTTAATATATGTTTTAACTGCGAAACACACGTTCTACGTCGACACTTGTTATCGGGCATTGTTTGTAGCAGCTTATAATAGCAGGATCTTCTTTTAAATCTACATCATTTCCATTTATTGAATTGTTGTACAGTTTTAAAATATTGTATCCAGGATTTTTATCAAATACTGATTTGAATTTTTCATATAATATTTGTCCCTTTTCATTTTCAATTGTCTTAAGTCCATCTCTTACTGTTTCAACTACATTTATTTGATAATTTAAAGTTGAATTTTGTTTTTCCAGTTTTGTAATTGAATTTGGCAACTCGGACAAATGTGATCGAATAAATGTTAAATCAGATATAATTGATGTAGTACTCAAAATAGATTTTACTTTTTGGACAGATTGTGCGTCATCTTCTATATTAGATACCAATTCTTTAAATTTACTGAAATTTTCAGAGTAAAACAAAGCAGCTTCTAACCATGTTCCCCACCTTGTTATTACAGGTTCTGGAGGAAGGCGACAGTCCATAAAATTTTTATAAGCAGTAATACGATGAGGTGCTTTTAAAAACATTTTTTTTCCATTATTTACCAGTTTATTTATACCCGGGAAAATGTCTCTAACTTTTTCGGCCACACGGTTTAAGCCATGGGCAACACAAGTTATATGAATCATATTAGAATAAAATATTTTTAATGCTCCTCCAGTTTTTATCATATATGGCCAGTGCCGCAACTAAGGTTATTAAGGCCGGGGTGCCAAACCAAATAATAGGGCCCCTTACTTACCAAAATTTTAAGAAATATTTTCATGAAAAATATATTTGTAAACGTTAAGTATCCATCACCATTTAAATTTCTTTTTAACTAAAAAAATACAAACTTACACTAGATAAAAATGGTTGATATAGGTACGTTTAAAATTATAATAAAAAAATTAAATATTCATGTTTTTCATATGTTTACATAATATT